TTTGTTATATTCACTAGTTTGTTTCATTTTTTAAATTCCACAAGTAAGTAATGTCATACAGTACTTGTCTTTCTCTGTCTGACCTATTTCACTCAGCATAGTACCGAAGCATGTCCATGTTGCTGCAAATGACAAAATTTCATTTTTTTTCTTTTTTTGTGCATATCTGTTACAGATTTTTGGTTTGCAGTTACTGGGAGGTTTATATACAGTAACCTCTATATATATGTGATTGTTTTAAGTTGTTGATCGCTTAATTTCAAATACATTTTAACAACCCTGCTTTTGTACTCTCATCCTATCACAATGACTGTTTTTGACATATTTTATATCTAAATGTTTTGTGTAACTCTTAACTTTTCATTGTGGATATAGATGATTCTACCATTTTTTTCTTTTAGCTTTCCTACCAACTTTGTGTGTGGATGATTTCCTACCTTTATTGTATATTTGCCTTAACTGGTGAGCTTTCTCGTTTTGTAATTTTCATGTTTCTATTTGTGGCCTTTTCTTTTTCACTTAGAATTCCTTTAACATGTCTTATAAAGCTAGTTTGCTGGTGCTGAACTCTTGCTTTTGGTCTCTGCATAAAATCTGAATGAGAGCCTTGCTGGGTACAGTATTCTTGGTGGCAGGATTTCCCCTCTCATTAGTTTTCATGTATTATTATCACTCCCTTCTGGTCTTCAGTTTCTGCTGAAAGGTCACCTGAAAGACATATGGGAGTTCCTGCATATGCTATTTGTTTCTTTTTACTTTTCCCTTCTTGTTTTTTTTTGGCTGTGCTGGGTCTTTGCTGTGGCCTGCAGGCTTCCCTTTCATGGCAGTGCGTGGGCCCTCTAGTTGTGGCATGCAGGCTTGGTTGCCCTGTGGCATGTGGGACCCTAGTTTCCCAACCAGGGATTGAACCCATGTTCCTTGCATCGGAAGGCAATTCTTAACCACTGGACTACCAGGGAAGTGTTCCCCCCGCCCCCTTTCTGCTTTTAGTAGTCTCTCTTTATCTTTAATTTTTGCTGTTTTAATTACAGTGTGTCTTGGTATGTTCCTGTTTGGTTTAATCCTGTGTGGGACTCTCTGTGCTTCCTGGACTTGAATGACTGTTTGCTCTCCCAGATTAGAGAAGTTTTCAGCTACCATCTCTTCAAATGTGTTCTCTGCCCCTTTCTGTCTTCTCCTTCTGGGACAACTATATCAGTGTTAGTATGCTTGATGTTGTCCTAAAGGTCTCTTAAACCATCCTTATTTCTTTTTGTTCTGTTTTCTTTTTTCTGTTCAGCATCAGTGATTTCCACTACCCTGCCTTCCAGCTTACTACTCTGTTCCTCTGTATCGTTTAGTCTACTTTTGATTTCCCCTAGTGTATGTTTCATCTCAGTTATTGTATCTTTAATCTCTGGTTGGTCTTTATATCTTCTGTTAAAAACTTCTAACTTTCACTCTATATGTCCATTCTTCTCCCTAGTTCTTTGATCATATTTATGATCACTATCCTGAACTCCTTCTTGGGTAGATTGCCTATCTCCACTTCACTTAGTTGTTCTCCTTAGTTTTTATCTCGATCCTTCCTCTTGAACTTGTTCCTCTGTCACCTCACGTTGCTTAAATTGCTGTTTGTATGTTTATGTATCTGGTAGGTTAGTTGTTTCCACACCTTGGAGAAGTGGCCTTCTGTAGGAAACGTCCTGTGTCCCAGCAGCCCATTCCCCTCTTGTCACTCAAGCTACATGCTCTTAAGGTTTCCCCCATGAGGGCTGTGTGGGTCCTTCGATTTGGCAGGCTATGAGGACAGTCTGGCAGGCTTGGGTAGCCCCCAGTCCAGTATGTTGCCAGGCCCTGCCTTACGTGGAGGCTGCTGGCTCTTTGTTGGCAGGGCTGTGTCACGAGGCAGCTGACTACAGAACCCCAGGTGGCCCTGGGGCTGGTGCTGGCTCACTGGTGGAGCCATGGGCCAGAAAACTCCAGGACTGTAGCTTGCCCACTGGTGGGTGAAGCCAGATCCTGAAGTTAGTGTCAGACTACTGACAGGCAGAGCTGGGTCCTAGAGTCTGGTTGCAAGGCACCAGGATCCCAGAGCTGATGTCAGATCACTGGTGGAGGTAGGGGCCGGGGGGAGGGTGGATTCCTGACACAGTTGGATGGAGTCTGAGATGTCCCAAAGCTTTGTTGACCTGCTAGTGGACAGGGCCAAGCTGGTCCCAGGGTGATCTCCTGCGGTCCAACTGGGTCAGGAGGCTGTGGGATTATGGTTTTCTTGCCTGTGGTGTCTGCCTTCTTGTGGGTGAGGCTGGCCTAAAGGTTAGAGCAGGCTTCATGGTGGGCAGGGCTGGGTTCCAGGGGGTTCTGGGACTGGTGCCTCCCACTGGTGGGTGGAACTGGGCGCTGGGCCCTCTAGTGGGTAGGGTAGTGTCCACAGGCAGCCGTGGGCTCATGGGGTCTTTAGACAGCTGTGTGCTGACTGCTGGGGCTGTGTCCCCTCCTAGTTAGTTCCTTGGCCTGTGCCTCAGCAGTAGTGCCTAGAGGCTGTTGTGTGGGGCCAGATCTTGGTGATAATGAGCTAGAGGAAGGAATCCACAATTCGGGCACCCAGCAGCACCAGCATCCACATGGTAGAAGCAGCTCCCAAGAATGGCTGCCACTAATCTCTATGTCTCCAAGGGAGCTACAGTTGCACCCCTTCAATCCCCAGGAGACTCCAAGACCAGCTGGTGGGTTTGCCCAGGCTCCTTTCAAGTTAGTGCTTTTGCCCTGGGTCCCATAGAGTGTGAAATTGTGTGCCCTTTAAGAGTTACGGAGAAGGAAATGGCAACCCAGTCCAGTATTCTTGCCTGGAGAATCCCTTGGACAGAGAAGCCCGGTGGGCTACAGTCCATGGGGTCGCAGAGTCGGACACAACTGAGCAACTGTCACTTCACTTTTAAGACTTGTCTCTATTTCCCCCAATCTTGTGGGACTCCTGAAACCAAGCCCCTCTGGCCTCCAAAGCCAAATGCTCTGCAGACACATCTTCCCAGCGCAGGAACTCCTGTGAGAACTTCTGCAACGTAATTCTCTAGCTTGTGGGAACCTGCCCCTCCTACCTATGTTATGGTTCCTTCTTTGTATCTTTAGTTGTAGATGTTTCCCAGGAGTTTCCCATCTATTTTAGCGATGGTTGTTCTACCAATAGTTGTGATTTTGGTGTGTTTGCAAGAGGTGAGCTCAGCTCTTTCTACTCTGCTATCTTGGCCAATCTGTCAGTCACAAACATTTTGAGATTCAAGTCCCAGTTACTTTTAGGGGTGGGATATACTTGGGTTGCTGTAGATGGGTGTGTTTTTTTATTGAATTGTGTTCTACATGTTGCCAGTGTACTGAAATGCATTTGATTTCTGTATCCTGATCCTACATCCAGTGCCTGTTTATGTTTTTGGATTTGCTAAGTGGAAAATCACAATCTGTGAAAAGTGAGTTATTTCTTCCTTTTTGGTCTTTTCACCTTACTTTCTTTTCAGTCTTACTGTGCTGGGGGGTGGGGACAATGATGAAGAGTGATCCAGGATATCCTCATCTCACCCCAATCTTGAATGGAATACTTCAAACATTTCATTTACTCTGAGTTTCCTATAGATATCATTTGTGAGGTGAGGGTATAGTTTCTTTCTGTTCCTAGTTTGCTAAGGGTGTCTATGGTTTATTGTTGAATTTTACCAAATACTTTTTTGCATTTATTGACATAATCTACTTCAGCTTTCCATCTGTTACTGATTATTTGTGTTCCTTTACCTCCTAAGAGGTGAGAAAATAACATACAATGTAAAGAGAACCTTGAGATGCTTTTAGTGCTTGCCTTTATAACACGTACTGGCTGGTACAGAGGAGAAACCCTGAAAGGCTATTATTTGCCCAGCCTGACGCTCCCTCGCTTGCTTTCAGGCCAGGCAGTGGGCTGTTCGCAGTGGGTGGGGGCTGGCAGAAATGCTGGCTGAGGGAGGCCAGAGAAGCCCTGCCCTATCAGGTGCAGAAAGCACAGGCCCAGGATCTGGGAACATGAGGGATCTAGAGGACACGTGACACAGCTGCCAGACTGGGACGGGTAGGCGTCTCTTCTCCACTGTTAGACATGGCCAGGTTTTCCTGCTGTGTGGGGATCCCCTTCCTAGAGCCCCACAACCAGCCTTGGATTGGGCAGATCCTCTCCCAGAGGGCCACTCAGAAAAATGAAGATAGTAATATTTAACTTCCAAAGAATTCCAGGCTCTAGCAGAACACTGAAAAGGAATAAGTCCTCTCATAACAGTTTGCCAAGTGGCAGTCTCCGGTATGAAGATATGAGCTTGCCCTAATGACCTAACCATGTACTGAACCACTCTGTCCACCATGTAGAGGATCTTCAGGCCCAGGGAAGCAGGCCCATGAGACAAGAGGCCATGACTGTTGTCTTCACACCTCCACATGGCTGTCCAGGGGTAGAAGAACAGAGAAGCGTGACCATAAAGGGGACAGACCAGGACCATGAGGCGCTACAGAAAGCAGAGAGGCTGACTCAGTACTGGAAGAACCTTCATAGGGATTCTCCTGGTGGGAGGGGACTGCCCCATCACAGCAAGTGAGCAAAGACCCAGTGGCTAGCTGGCAGGGACTAGAAAGAAGATTCATGCCAGGACAGAACTACTGACCTCCAAAGTCCCTTCAAGCCCTAGAACATGCAGTGACACCAGCTAACAGAAATGCCTGGGTTTACCTGAGGGTCAAGCTGGTCAATGGGATGTTCTGGGTCAGGACTGCTGGGTTCGGCATCATTCCACAGGCTCAGCTGCTCTCTGTACCAATGATTTCACACCTTTGGTCCCCTGGCTTGGCCTGCGCACTCCCCAAGTGGTTGAGAGCCCTTGGGAAGTCTGTGCTCCTATTTTGCTAGCTGGATCAGGCTATGATTCTGTACTGCGGGAAGATGCCAAGAGGCCATCAGAGCCCTCCAACATGGAGGGGGGTGGAAGGAGTAGCCAGTCACCCAGCAGTGTGGCACAAGTAGGGACTTTATTGGCGGGGCTCGGGAAGCTGTGGCAGAGCCGAGCAGGCAGCTGTGAGGGCCTGGACCACTGCCCGGAGACGAGGGGCGAGGGGACCAGCCTCTGCACTCTGCTGCTGGGGGCACGTGTCCCTTTTCAGTTCTCAGGGGCAAGTGTACAGGAAGACGGTTCAGCACTTCACAAACTGGTGGGCGACCTCGTAGATTCCCACAGACTCCTGAGCCTTTTCGTCATAGTCAGTCCAGTCCTGTGGGAAAAAAGGGCAGCGTTAGCCTCACGAGGCAGCCTGGGACAGCGTGGAGAGGAGAGGACTGGGACTAAAAGGCACAGCTCAGGCTCTAACTCAGGCTTCAGGAACATGCCTGACCCAGGACACAGAAAGACTGCTCAGGTCTGAATTCCTGCTCCTCTAGCTTTGTGCTTTTTTTCAAGTCACTTGCCTTCCTGAGTCTCGGGTCTGTCCTCTGTTTTAAAAAAGGGAACAACAGATTTTATGTTGAACGTTGAAAGAAATGAGTTAACACATATGAGAGCTCGCTAAATCCAGTTACTGTTATTAGGTGCTATGCAGATTGAATGTTTTTGTCCTTCCTTCCTCTGAGGCCTGACCACAAGCCTTCCTCATCTGCAAGGCAGTAACCTGTCCAGTGGTCCAGTTGATTCTTGGTATTCACGGTAGTTATGTTCTATAAAGTCCCCACAAGCACTGAATTAGTGAATATTGAACCACTGCTCCCAGGGGAAATACAGGTTAGGTTCCTGGGAGCATCTGATCACAATATTTTCTTCAGCCAATCAATACATAAACTTGTTTCATGTATGTTTTTATTTAAAAACACCTTATCTAAATAATATACGTGTGTGTGTATGTGTGTGTATATGTATGTATATAGTTGATTCATTAAGACTGGACTTATGGCCAACAGCACTGCATCTCATGCCTAAACAAAGCTTATCTAAGATGTATTTTCTCCAAAAGGCCCGTCCCAGCTTTCCTGCGTGTGATCACTAGGTAGTGCTTTAGCATTACACGTTGGGCTATCGTAGAAACCAGAATCACCAACAAAAAGAACAAAAGTGTGGAGTCAGCATCTCGTTGACGAGCCTTGTTCAGCAAAAAGTTAATTCCCACGAGGTGCCCTACAGCTCCCCACAAGGCCCCCAAGTCCTGTACCTTCTCCTGTAGATTAATGTCACTGAAGACTGTCCCCGATTCCACACCCTCAGCAGCAAACCCAGCCTGCAGGTGAGAGGAAGGCAGCAGTTAATCAGGGGGGAAGGCAGCAGTGTGGCAGGTGGGCCTGACCAGGGAACTGCCCCATTTCACAACCCTCTGGCACAGGACACAGAAGCAGTGTGGGATACTGTTTTGGAATAACTACTGAGATCCCAGGGCCTGGCAGGTGCCCTTGGACTAAGAGTGGTTTCTCCAAATTAGAGCCCTGACCTAGAAGGCAGGAGGTGTGGGGTAAACCCTTCCTTCACCCCTGGTTTTCTGAAAGACCCCAGGCATGTCACTTCCCTCTGTGGACCTCAGTTTTCTTACTTTTGAAATGGGGATAACAATATAATCTCTTCTGCCTACCTCAAAGGGTTGTGAGGTGAAAATGCTACACAAATCTAGTGCCATGAGCACTGGCTCTGGAGTTGGATAGATGTGGGTTCAAATTACTGCTCGTGTTTACTAACTGCTTCCCCTGAGCAAGTCACAAAATCTCTGAAGTTCTCTCCTCATCTGAAAAACTGGATGAATAAACCTAACAAGGTTGCTGTGAGGATTAAGTGACGTAACATTAAAAGTAACAAGTTTGATGTCCAACATACATTAGCTGTTTAAGAGATAACAATGATTATTCTTAGGAAGGAGAATTCCTGCTCCATGGTCTCTGCAGGAAGCACAGTCCTGCTGTCACTTCCTGCAGTATACACCTTCCCCAAACATACAGGTTCCTTGGGAAGACAGGTACCTGGGGCTGGAAATCCACTGGTTCAAGTCCTCGACACTCAAACTCTACTATCGTCTTGAACTTCTCATTGTCTTCAGCCTATAAAGGAAGTGTGTTGAGGAAGCAGGCCTAACCGGGCCTAGGATGATCCCACGGCCCCTGTGAGCCCAGAATTGGCTTCAGAAGCCACCCATCTCTCTCTGGAAGAAGGCCACTTTGGCACAGGCTCACCGTGAGATCTTTCGGAATGTGGACTTGGGCTGGGGCGCCTGGATGTGAGCTCACACACAGTTCTGCTTCTCTTCCCTCCTGGGCCTAAGATTGTCAGATGGAGCTGAGGAACCCACTACAGCTTTATCGTGAGAATCTGAACTAGGTGTGAAGTGCCCAGCATAGGACCTGACACTATGGTCAATAAATGGTAGATAAAATTATCAAAGTAAAAACTATGAGAAGAATATTGATGTATAAGGTTTCCAGATCATCCAAAAGCCCTTGGTACACTTAGCTATGGCCTTTTGGTAACCATCTGCCATGCTGTCAAGGCGGGGGCTGACTTAAGACCTTTGAAGTGGGATATGCCTGTGGAGGATGCTCACTGAGTGGAGTGGTATAACCAAAATTTGTGCCTACCTGACCCTTGGGTCCATACGTCCTACACATTCATTGTAGGACAATGTGTAGGGACTATACCTACACATTCATTCTCATTCATTCACTCTGTAGAAACACTTCCTGCATGCCAACCAAGCACCTGTCCTTGGTGTAGTTTTGTTTCCTGGTCTGTCTCTTTCACTAGATAATGATTTACTTGAGGGCAAGTTCTTATGTGATTTTTCCTTATGTGATTTTTTTAACTTCAGGACAAAGCTGAGAGTTTGGCATAAGGCAGGCATTTTTCAAAAACACCAAATAAGGAATGGATAAAGACAAGTAATTACCCTTCTTTAAATACACAGAACCAAAGCATACATTCCCTCCCTCACTTCTGGACTAATATGCTACGCAGTGACATAAATAAATGTCTAATAAAATCAGATAGCAAGGATGGATGCACCATTCAAAGGACTATCCCACCCATGGACGCAGAGAAGACTCACTAGTCCTCTAAGATGTAGACAAGGCAAGTGTTCCCAGTGTTGGAAACTGAGTGGCCAGGTTGGGTCAGAGGTCGCGTAAGTTCCCACAGCCCAGCACTTTTAAGAAAGCACTACAATAGTCTGGTTATGAGTCTTTTTCCTACCAAGTATTCAGTCAGTGTAAGGTGAATAAATGACTGACACATGAATGAACGAACAAGTTAGCACATGCAGTCAGTCCCATAGCTCATCACTCTGGTGCAGATATAACTCTAGAACACAGGCCTCCTAGTTCCCAGCTTCGATCTAATCCCACCATGCCTGCCACTGCAGCGGGAAACTTACGTTGTAAGATTTGATGGTGCTGCTCAAAATCTCTGAAATGTAAAAGAGAAGACAAAGTTGATCTGAGCCCACGTCCTGGCCCTATCAGGTACCCAGATGGTGCTCTAGGCAAGAGTCTACTGTAGAGGCTTGGGTACCTCAGGCCTGGGTCCACCCACAGGACACATGAGCATGCTTTCAGTCTGGTACCAGAAAGCTGTGGGCCAGCCTGGCAGAGGCAGTATCCACGGCCTACCTACCAATGGAGTTTTCCCTCGAACACAGCTTGCACTTCTGGACCATGGAGGCACTGCCATGGCCTCCCTTCAGTGCCACACTGTCCTGGCAAGCAGGAAACAGAACCTCTAGTCACATATCAGTCAGGTGTAAGGGTCCTCAGGAGACCCAGTCCTACCGCGTATTATCCAGTTAAAGATGAAAACCCAGACAGGGTGAGGAACTTGCTAGGACAAGAATCCTGGGGAGGCTTCTTGAGACTGAGAAAAGGACTCCCACTTGAACTCTTGCCTCACATCCCAGGGCCTATTGTTCCCAGTGTTGATCACACCAATGCCTGCCCTCCCAAACCACAGAAAGTGGGGTCCAAAGGCCAGAGAGCTTAGGGCCACAGATCCCTGCCCAGAGACCTGTGTGTGTTTGTGTGCGGGTATGGTGGTGGGGGGAACAGTTACCATCAGCCGAATGTACTGCCACTTCTCTGAAATCTCACCACAGTTGCCACATTTCATCTTGAGGGGAGGGAAAAAGAGTATTAGTAGAGTAGCTGGCTCAGCTGGACAGATGCTGAGGGAACGGCAAAAACGGGGTGAGGTGGGCAGGCTCATAATCTTATCAGCCATCTAAGGACACAACCAGACTAATCTCTGGGCAAAGTGTTTCTCCTGTTGACTGGCCCATCCTCCTCTAAGAAGTGCTCGGTCTGGCTACGGATTCAAGACTCATGTGGTACAGAAATGGCTTCAAGTTCCACACAACACCCACTGAGTTAGGAGCTTCCTCTGTGTTCTCCTAGGACGGAAGGTTGCTGGTAGAAGTACTTATCACTGTTGCTATTCTATTTCTTTGTCCCCTTCTCTAAATTCTGCTTTTTGAAGCTAGAGACCATCAATTCCTCAAGTAAGACCTGGCACTCGGGCTTCCAAAAATTTGAAAATAAAGGTGGTCAGAAGGTTTCCTGAAAAAGGGATTTTTCCAGGTACTGAAGGATACTGGGATTTAGACAAGAAGGAAAACAGATGAGAAGCTCCGGAATGTGGGAAAGGGAAGGGCCTCAACTGCTCAAATAAGATGAGGACTTCTGGAGACCATGGCACTAGGGTACCAGATTTACAAATACGGGTGGGGAAGTAAGGGTGCAACCCCGCACAAAAATAAACCTGATCAAGAAAAGAGGTGAAGTTATTCTTACTAAATAATCACAAGATCCCTGCAAGTAGTCTTTCCTTTAGTGTCTTTACATACCATGAAACATTTAACGGAGGGAAAAATTACAAAAGGAATTTCAAGACACTGCTAATTAAGAATTAATAAACTTTTAAAAGGAAAACATAAAATTCTACCCAGAAGAAAACATTTAATAAGCTGGATCATCAAAAAAGCAAGAGAGTTCCAGAAAAACATCTATTTCTGCTTTTTTGACTACGCCAAAGCCTTTGGCTATGTGGATCACAATAAACTGTGGAAAATTCTAAGAGATGGGAATACCAGACCACCTGACCCACCTCCTGAGAAACCTGTATGCAGGTCAGGAAGCAACAGTTAGAACTGGACATGGAACAACAGACTGGTTCCAAATAGGAAAAGGAGTACGTCAAGGCTGTATATTGTCACCCTGCTTATTTAGCTTATATGCAGAGTACATCATGAGAAACGCTGGGCTGGAAGAAGCACAAGCTGGAATCAAGATTGCCAGGAGAAATATCAATAACCTCAGATATGCAGATGACACCACCCTTATGGCAGAAAGGGAAGAACTTTATAAAGAGCCTCTTGATGAAAGTAAAAGAAGAGAGTGAAAAAGTTGGCTTAAAGCTCAACATTCAGAAAACTAAGATCATGGCATCTGGTCCCATCACTTCATGGGAAATAGATGGGGAAACAGTGGAAGCAGTGTCAGACTTTATTATTTTGGGCTCCAAAATCACTGCAGACGGTGATTGCAGCCATGAAATTAAAAGATGCTTACTCCTTGGAAGGAAAGTTATGACCAACCTAGACAGCATATTAAAAAGCAGAGACATTACTTTGCCAACAAAGGTCCGTCTGGTCAAGGCTATGGTTTTTCCAGTGGTCATGTATGAATGTGAGAGTTGGACTGTGAAGAAAGCTGAACGCCGAAAAATTGATGCTTTTGAACTGTGGTGTTGGAGAAGGCTCTTGAGAGTCCCTTGGACTGCAAGGAGATCCAACCAGTCCATCCTAAAGGAGATCAGTCCTGGGTGTTCATTGGAAGGACTGATGCTGAAACTCCAGTACTTTGGCCACCTCATGCGAAGAGCTGACTCATTGGAAAAGACCCTGATGCTAGGAGGGATTGGGGGCAGAGGATGAGATGGCTGGATGGCATCACCGACTCGATGGAGATGGGTTTGAGTAAACTCTGGGAGTTGGTGATGGACAGGGAGGCCTGGCGTGCTGCGATTCATGGGGTCACAAAGAGTTGGACACGACTGAGCCGAACTGAACTGAACTGAACAAGCATTTCTCATCTTGCCCGAGAGAAAGCTCCTGTTCACCACTGGGATCAGAATGGGAAAGTTTTACGCGAGCCTGGCCTTGGCGCCCCCACTAGAGGCCGGAAATGCCTGCACCCTAGACGTCTAGAGCCCCGCCCCCCCAGCCTTACCTTCAGGTACCACCGGAAGTCTTCGCCCACTGGCCGGAGGTTGGTGACATTCTCCAGCGTGGCTTTGAGCTGCAGCGCGATTTTCTGAGAAGGAGCGCCAGGGCGACTGCTTCAACAGCGCCTGCGCAGCCCCTGTAGCCCCTGCCCCGCCCCTCTCCTCCCTTCCCCGCACGAGCTTTGACTCCCGGCTCTCAACACGAGCCCACTCTCCTCATTCCCTCCTGGCGCGAGCTCCTGCCTCCGAGGTTCTCGCCACTTCCCCGCTCTTGCCCTATCGGCGGCTCGCTTCCACTTACCCCCATAGCGGCTCGGCCCACCCAGCGCTTGCTGCGGCCACTGCTTTGCGGCTCGTCGTAAACGGCGGGCGCTGTCTGCGCACTCTCGGTGCGGTTCTGGGCGGGGCCTGGAGGCGGGTGTACGCGGGCCGCTGCTTTCCCAGTACACCTGGTCTTTTAGGCAAAGCCGTCTTGTGGAGGTAGTCTGAGACCGCAAACAGCCGGTACCGTGGGTTCAGACCCGCGGAAGGCTCCCTCCGGCAATCGGTAATTAGATATTTACTGAACGGCAAGTTAGTTTGAGGGACGTCGCACCAAACAAGAACAGTCCTGCCCGAAACCTCTACCGGGTCCTCACTATTCTGCCTTCCTTCACCCAGCCTCGCGCTGGCTCCCTGCCTGCCCGCCGAGGCATCTTAGATCACGTCAGTTCACGCTGCCCGGGGCCGGCTTCGCAGATTTGGAAGACGGTACCCTCCTTTAAACTGCTCGCTCCTCTACGCAGGGGGCCTTTCGTAGGGTTGTCTCGTGTGTATGTCCTGGTGGTCCGCAAGACTGGGCACTCCCCTTCAGCTTACTCTTCTCTGGGTTCCCGGTTTGCTCTAGCATACGTTCACTCAACTTGTGCTTTTGTCCAGGACTCCTCTGAGGCTCTACGGGAGCTGTAAGCATTACAAAGAACAGCCTGTTTGAAGCTTTTATAGCCTCCTGAGGTCTAGATTGTTTAAAATTTGGAGCGACTCTTTAGGATGTCTACTTTGACACAAACTTACCTGATTGCCGCCAGGTACCCTTCAATAGCAGAGGGTGCACTGCAGAGGAACTCCGACGCCTCAGGTCCCAGATCGGCAGCTTAGTTGCTGCCCTGTGATCTTTTTTCCATTCTTTTTTCCCCTGTGATCTTTGGAGGCAAAGTAGGGTGTGTGTGTGTTTGGGACCCTGTGATCTTTGTGTGTGTGTATATATATATATATTTGGGACCCTGTGATCTTTGTGTGTGTGTATATATATATATATTTGGGACCCTGTAATCTTTTTTTCTCCCCGTTATTTATTTTTGGCTGTGCTGGGTCTTCATTGCTGCAGATAAGCTTTCTCTAGTTGCAGCAAACGGGCTAGTCTCTAGGACTCATAGACTTCAGTAGTTGTTGGCAAGTGCGCTTAGTTGCTCTGCAACATGTGGAAATCTTCCCAGACCGGAGATTTAGCTCATGTCCCCTGTGGTGCCAGGTGCTAGACCACCAGGAAAGTCTTGGGACCCTGTGATCTTTGAAGGAGGCGAAGTACGTGTGTGTGTGTGTGTGTGTGTGTGTGTCTGATCTTTGAAGAAGTCAAAGTAGGGCATGTGGGGAAACACTTGCCTAGGAGTATATGGGACCTGTCCCAAGTTGGCTGCTCTTGAGGGATGTTGAGCTTAGCTTTATCACATCCCCTCAGTCAAATGAGATTTAGCAACACCGTGGCCACTATCCGTTCAGTCAGCAGTTTGTCTAAGGAAGCCATGCAACCTAGCAGCAAGAAAAATTTCCTGCAGATCTACCTGCTGAACAAATCCCCACACTATCTATACCAACTACGTCGCTTCTTTAATGGCTGTTAGAATTCTGACTTTAAAATTAATCACTGGAAAGGTTTTCTTAGACTAGCCACTTTATCGCTTATAACGTATGAAACCAAGTGTTCTTCGCCATCGTGAAAGAGTTTCAGATAGGTCTATACAGGTGATTTACAACTCCGACCTCTGGCTTCCCTGGTGGCTCGGTGGTAAAGAATCCGCCTGCCGATGCAGGAGACGTGGCTTTGAACCCTGGTCTGCGGACCCAGCGTGCTGCCGAGCAACTAAGCCCATGCACCGCAACTACTGAGCCTGTGCCCTAGCGTTCATGCTCCACAACAAGAAAAACCACCACAATGAGAAGCCCAAGCAATACAAGAGTAGCCCCTGCTCTCCACAAGGAGAGAAAAACCTGAGCAGCAACAAAGACTAGTACAGCCAAAAATAAAAATAAGTAAAAAAAAAACCCCAGAAAACCCTCCAACCTGTTATACCTCAGTAAAGCTAGATGAAAAAAATAAAACCAAAATATCAACCATACCATTTTACTCCCTAAAAAATTAATAATACTTCACTAATACCAAATATCCAGTGTTTAGATTTTCTTACTGATGGCAATTTTACATTTCCTGAATCATGATCCAGACAGGGTTCAAACATTTTATTGATTATGTGATTATGCGTCTCTCAAATCACCTTTAACATTCCCACTCCATCTCCATTTGTTTGCAGCTTTTTTCTTTTTTTAATAAATCAGATCACTTATCCTGGAGTTTCCTCTGGTTATTGATTGGATTTCCACTTTTCTTTTTTTTTTTTTTCCCCACTGTTACTTCTTAGCATGTTTCTCTAATCTTTTACTTCCTATAAACTGGTAGTTACATGTACAGAGTTGATTAGCTTTTTGGCAATACTTAACATAAGCTACTGTTAAAAAGTAATTTGAGACGAGTTCACATGTTCAGGTCTTTATAAAATAAAAAAATCATTTTGTTACATATTTATTAAAGACAATCATTTATAGTTTATAAAAAAAATATTGCCCTGATACACACAAAAATGTCTAGATAATGGTAATTAAAAAGCAGCACTCCCACCCCCCTTGTGTCCACACCAATGTTCCATCTAGATTGGCTTAATCTTGAAGTGTAATCCAATAAGACTGAAGACCAAACACTTCAGGTCCTGGACAAGATAATAAAATACTCGTAAGCCTTCTGGATCCCTGTAATGCAAGAGGAAAAAAATGTTTAAAAAGCTGAAAAAAACTCAGCAAAAAATACCACTTAATAACCCAGATTATTTATGTACCAGGATATTCCTCATAAGAGGTATTTACAGAATTAAAACTTTGAAAACAACCAAATGTCCAAAAAGAAGAAAAAGCCTAATATACATTAAAATGGAATATTAAGAAGTAATTTAAAATGTTAAGGTTTTTCATGATTAAAGTTAACAGACTGTTGATCTCAATTCAATTTTTGTGCTTTAAAAGACTTTTTTAAAGCACAGGAAAAAGACAGAGATACTTTAAGATTAATGGTTATCTAACTGCTAATTTTATGGGTGATTTTCTATGTTTCCGTATTTCCTATATTTTCTACAGTAAGCATGTATTACTTTCAGAATTGCATAACTGGGTAAGAACAAGGAGACTGTTCATAGGAAGACAACATGTACTAAAAGTGAACTATATCTAATCCCAAATCCTCAAAGCACAAGAGCCAAAAAGGCTGCCAAATTCTAATGATTGTGGCATACAGATTCATGTCTCAATAATTTACCCTGACAAAGACAAATTCCTAAATTTATATTCTAAATGATTTCAAGTTTCACTAAAGTCAGGCTTTAAGATGTGCAATCTGAATAACCAACACTGAGGAAGGTATCCAGACTCATTGATTCCATAAGTTATTTCCACCAATTGTTTTTTTGTGTTTTGGCCAGATTCTTACCCACTTTGGCTGCTCCTGTGGGTGTATCACTGAGAAGTGCTTACTGACAACAATTGACTGAAACACCAAAAGCAAAAGGAGCAAGCCCTTGAAGATAATTTGGAGTCTCTCAAAGCTGTCCAATTCTTAGATTTGTACCAGATTATTATCTTGCCATAACAGTCTCAATTTGATTATGGGTTTCATATCAGCGTGCTCGAAAACAGACATATCTGGATATAAGGATCATGTGTACTTACTTGGATTGATTGACATCAATAAGGGAACCAATTTTTGATGTTGTGAAAGAAATGTGTTCGTCTCCAATGACAATTTCAAGCTCCTGAAACATTGAAAGAAATATCAATCTGAATTGGTTTTTCATCACACAGGAGAAGGGTTCATCATCTTCCAAATCACATGAACTCTAATACAGATGGCCACATTACCAAGAGCAACCTGAGCCCTAGACTGTACTGGGTACTAGAAACAAAGAGATAAACGGTACGACATAAATACTGGTTTAGTCCTTGAGTAGCTTGTACTCTTAGAAGTTGTGTCTGTGAGGCTCCACATTTGGAAGAATTTACATTGTTTTCCATATAGGAGTTTTAATTGTTAACAATGTGGAGTGACATGTATAAATTTGTTTTACAAATACTGAGAATCTAACTTTTAGGGGCAACATGGGACAAGGAAAGGAATTCCAGACCTTGAGTTAATCCCAGCTTTCTCACTTAATAGTTGTAGGCCCTTGGGCCTGAATTTCTGAAGAATGGAACAAGCACCACAATCTTTAAAAAAAAAAAAAAATCTATTGGGCAGGGAATGGGGGGGGGGGGTCCTATGGGACAGATCAGCAAAACCAAACAAAGATTTCTGCCCTTGTGGAACTTATAACCTATTGAGTTCTACTTCTTTTCTTTTTAAAAAATATTTAATTAATTAATTTATCTGGCTGTGCTCGTCTTCATGCAGGATCTTTAGTTGAGGCATGTGGGATCTAGTTCCCCGAGAGAGACCAAACCTGCGGCCCCCTGAATTGGGAGCATGAAGTGTTAGCCACTGGACCACAGGGGAAGTCCCCTGAGTTCTACTTCTTAACATTCAGACTTGAAATGTTAATATTTTGTTGTATTTGTGTCAGATTTCTTTTTCAAGAAATATTACAGTTTAGACCCACCTCCCACTCTATTCTTCCTGTATGCCCAGAAGTTGGAATGTATTCTTTCCACTCATGGTTTTAGATTAGATAGAATGTCTTTAAAATTTTTACATAAATGATCATACTACATATATCTTTTTGCTCAACAAAGGTGTTTTTTTTAATTTGTTTTTATTGAGTTACATGGGGCTTCCCAAGTGGTGCTAGTGGTAAAGAATCCACTTGACAATGCAGGAGGCATAAGAGATGGGGGTTCAGTCCCTGGGTTGGGAAGATCCCCTGGAGGAGGGCATGCCAACCCACTCCAGTATTCTTGCCTAAAGAATCCCATGGACAGAGGAGCCTGGTGGCTACAGTCCATAGGGTCACAAAGAGTAGGACACAACTGAGTGACCTAGCACATTGAGTTACATTGCAGTTTTTTGGTTTTGGCCACAGGGCATGGCTTGTGGGATCCTGGTAGTGAAAATGCCAAATCCTAACCACTGGTCACCAGGGAATCTCCATATTGAGTTAAAATTGGTTTGTAACATAAGTACAATATTCTATTTCTACTTCTGCATATACTTATACTGTGCTGACCACCAAAAATTTAAGTTTCTGTCACCATACAGTTGATTCCCTTTACAAATTTTGCACACCCAGCCCCTTCCCTCTAAAAACCACTACTCTGTTTTTTGTATCTATGTGGTTCCAGTTGGTTTGTTAATTTATTTTGGTTTTTGTTTGTTTTCAACAAAGTTTTTGTATATAGATCAAGTTCATTATTTTTAGATGCTTTAGAATATTCATCATCATGCATAAGGAAAACCAAACAAGACAATTTCAGACAATGATAAATAATATGAAGACAAAAACTAAATCTTATTTAAGTGATAAGAAAAGGCATTTTAGATTAGATAGGTTCTTAAGACATCACTGAAGAAGTGACATTTGAAGACCTCAATAATAAAGACAGTCTCAGAATGTTCCAGGCAATATGTAGCAGATGCAGAAGTTCTAAACTAAGAAACAGCTAGGTGAATCTGAGTAACATAAATAAGACCAATGAGATTTAAACCCAGTGAGAGATGGTGAAAATGGTAGAAGGTAATCTGGGAGTTCAGATTTTATTTTAAATGCAGTGGGAAGTCAGAGTTTAAAATCAGTGGAATATATAAACAAATTTACATTTTAAAAGATTACTGTCACTTCAGGAGAGAAAAAATGGGCTGTACAGGACAAAAGAAGAGACAATGAAATCAACTGCAAGTTGGAAGGCAGCATTAAAGTAGAAAGAAGAATCTTTCCTATTAATCTGATCAAGTATGACAGTGGCTTTTATTTTTTAATACCACAATGTTTTCAGAGTAAATATCTAAGCCAGAAATTTAAACAGATAGACTTAGTTGCTGGCATGACTTTCCATTACATTGTTGACATGACTATGTTTTATTTATCTTGCTATCTTCACAATGTTTTGTCCATAGTGGTGACTTAGTAAGAAACGTGGGTAGCAAATACTCTGGAGAAGCGGGAGGTGGCCCAGAAGAAATTCAGGGCTGGGCTGCAGGTGTTCAGCAGCTCCACCTGCTGTCCCTGGTCCTCCGTGGGGCTTCGTGCTACCTTAGACCAAGGTGCTGGTAACCTGCTCAGTACAGGGCTCCAGAACACACACACATACTGAGTACATTCAGTGTCACATGCAGAGCAGGAAGCTTTATCTTATTCTAAGACTTCTGCACTGTGGGTAGCTGCTAAAACACTCACCTGCCGGCCCACTCGGTCAGGAGGAGGCCACAGTGCATCATCCTCTTTGGTAATTTCACTGTCATCAATTATTCTCTTCAGTTCCTCCATCACACTTTTATGTACATAAGCCTGAAAGCAAGTTAAAAAACAGAATTTAAATTATATCTCTAAGCAGCATTCTGACTCAGATAGTGATGAAAGATTAAAAAAAAAAAAAAGACTAATGAAAATTTATTTCTGGCACCTCTGTAAATGTGAAGACACTCCAGCTTGACTTCAGCATGCTAAGAGGATGGCAGGGTCAGAAGTGTCCAATGACTACACCTCAATCCCACATCTAGTTGTTTCTGTTTCTTGGTCCATCCTGTTCATATGGACCTACTCCTTGCCTACCTGCACACCTGAGCCCCAAAGAAAGATCTGTGAGTAACTCAGGTTATTTTAAATTAAATGATATGCTTCTGAAGAGCAGACACATGTCTTTTACATTTTACATATTTAAAAAAAAGTGAGGATGCTGACATGTAGGGGTAAGCATAATACTGATCGCTAATTAAATATTACAGTATGAAAATATACTATTAAGACATTTTCAGGTATGACAAAGCAGTTAAAAGGAAAGAATGGCTTTAATGAAGTTCAATGGTGTGGTAGAAATAACACCAAACACGGACTTCACAAAGGCAGGCAGAGGTCTAAATTTCTGCTCAGTTTCTTACTAGGAAGGGTAACTCTGAACAAGCCCCATAATTAATATATGGGTCTTCAATGTCTTATCTGTAAAGGATATGTAACACCACCCATCAAAGAGCCTTATGATAGGGGTTCAAATAGCACTACAGATGTAGTACCTAGTGTCATGACTAGAATCTAACATGCATTCAATGATGTTAAGTGCTTTCCCACACTCCCTTTTGCCTACTCAAATGCAAATTAAAAGAGCTCCACTGAGTGCTAGGTACCAGGGAATGCAGATGATACCCCCTAATGGCAGAAAGTGAAGAGGAACTAAAGAGCCTCTTGATGAGTGAAAGAGCTGGCTTAAAACTCAACATTCAAAAAACTAAGATCATGGCATCCGGTCCCCTCACTTCATGGCAAACAGATGGGGAAAAAATGGAAATAGTGATAGACTTTATTTTCTTGGACTCCAAAATCACCACAGACAGTGACTGCAGCCTTGAAGTTAAAAGACACTTGCTCCCTGGAAGAAAAGCTATGACAAACCTAGTTTAGTTCAGTTCAGTTCAGTCGCTCAGTCATGGCCAACTCTTGGTGACCCCATGGACTGCAGCACGCCAGGCCTCCCTGTCCATCACCAACTCCCGGAGTTTACTCAAACCCATGTCCACTGGGTCGGTAATGCCATCCATTGTCCCCTTCTCCTCCCGCCTAAGACAGCATATTAAAAAGCAGAGACATCACTTTGCTGACAAAGGTCTGTATAGACAAAGCTATGTTTTTTTCCAGTAGTTATATATGGATGAGAGAGCTGAACTATAAAGAAGGCTGAGTGCCAAAGAATTGATGCTTTTGAACTGGGTGCTGGAGACTTGAGTTCCCTAGATAGCAAGGAGATCAAACCAGTCAATCATAAAGGAAATCAGTCCTGAATATTCATTGGCAGGACTGATCCTGAAGCTGAAGTTCCAATACTATTGCCACCTGATGCAAAGAGCCAAATCACTGGAAAAGATTCTGATGCTGGGAAAGATTGAGGGCAGGAGAAGTGGGCAACAGAGGATGATAGAGGGCATCACCAACTAAATGGACAGGAGTTTGAGCAAACTCTGGGAGATACTGAAGGACAGGGAAGCCTGGTGTACTGCAGTCCATGGGGTTGCAAAATCAGATATGACTTAGCAACTGAACAACGACAACCAAGGAATATATCAAACACTAAGTGGCAGGTATGTTTTCTGTTTTTTCAGATGAAGCAACTGAGACTTATCAAGCTCAACCAAGAAATTTTCCCAAGGTCACATGGTTAGTAAAAGATCCAAGGTTCAAAACCAAGATCTGCAAGACTTCAAATGATTACTGGTTATTGACTCATCACTATTAAAGAAAAAATAAACTAAAAGAAGATTTGAGAAAAACTTTAGAAGCCATCTACAGGCACATTTATACTTCCCTATTCTTTATCTTTCAATATTATTCCCAGAAAGAATAAAAACAGGACACAAGGCTAAATGGTAGTGAATGAAAGGCCCTCAGAAGATTCATTACCTCTTTTCTGATCATGACATCATTTTTGTAATTGCTGTTGTTGGCATATCTCAATTTCCCTGTGAGTGACAAAAAACAAATTCAATATATAATAAAAACATAAAGTGTCATTAGCCTACCAAAACTATCAGCTATTGCTTAAAATGTATCCTAACTTTCCCTTCAAAGTGTCGAATAGTTTTAGTATTTATACCTCTGGTGTTTCAACAATACTAGTCTTTTCAGTTTTTCACTTTAGGCTTTGGTGGACAAAAAAAGTCACCTGCCTTATCAGTCAACAAAGGATATTGCAGCGATTAAGCCATCAGCCACTGCAGCCACACCACCCCCAGCCCCCTCCCTATGGGTGCACTCTGAGGGGATTCAGGATGTTGAAAACAGGATACTGGCCCTGGACAGTTAAGTTGCATATCAAAGGAATGATTTCAATGAGCCTAGCAACTTCCCATACAAAGAAAAATGCTAACTTAATTAACTTTAGATGTCTGGTATTTGATTAACAGTAACCTTTAGATGTTCTACCTGTTTTTTGTTTTTGGGGGTTTTTTCCCTCTAAAACATCCTATATATCCTGGCTCATCCCTCACTTCTTCAGAATAGTCCCTCAAAGCTATCTGACAGCCTAACTCCCAGGCTTAAGTCCCCAGTGTTTCCACTGAATAAGACAATTCTCAAACTTTAAATTATGTATTTTTTTCCCCAGTGAACACTATTAAATAACCTTCTAGCCAAAAATACAGCTGACAATGATTTACAATTCTTGCAAAAGGCAGCTCAGGTGTGATAAAAGAACAGACTCCTTTGTGACTGGCAAATCCTATCTCAGCAGGTTAATGTCCTCAGCTGAAAATAGGAGTTACTGATAACCTACCCGCACACAGGGCCTTCAGAGGCTCAAAAGAATTGTGAAAGTTTCTGAAAACTATAAAATGGTTTTTACACATATTAACATATGACTGTGAAACACTGATCTATTCCTTTTCTAAACATGATAGAAAAGCTGTTGTTTTATTATTGAGCATTTTTGGTATACAATGCCCTCTGTGACACTGTTCATCAAACAGGCTGATTTGGGTATATATGGTGGATATGAAGAAGATAAAAGGAAATAGAGGAGATAATTTTTTCCCCATAGAAGGCACACTAAAAAGAGTCAAAATAACTGATGCCTTACTGCACTGTGTCTCTGCCTCAAGTCTCTCTCCATTTAGTTCATTCTCTGTAGAGTGGACAGAGTCAAACAGTAACAGATGGACCCAATTGGGTCACTCTAATATTACGTTTTAATACTGACAGCAGCTCCCCACTACCTTCTTGATAAAGTCCAAAATCCTCAATGTGGCTTCCTGCTAAGCTAAGCCCATTTCCAGCCTCACTCCTACAACAGGACTCTCACATAGAGCTGGGGTTAATCAAAATACAGTTTACCCTTAAAGGATGTCGGGGTTAGGGGCACCCACCCTCTACACAGTCAAAACTCTGAGTATAACTTAAGAGTCAGCCAGCACCTGTGATTTTTCGGTGTCTACAGTTCCTTATTCTCAATTCAACCAACTGTGGATCAGGTAGTAGCACAGTATTCATTAGTATTAATTAAAAAAAAAATCTGTGTATAAATGGACACATGCCATTCAAAGCTATGTTGTTCCAGGGTCAACTAACTGTTTTGGTTTCTGCCTGAAACATCCCATGCACCTTTTGGGTTTTCAGCCTCTTTGCTGTTAATGCTGTCTAACCAGCTCCTACACAGTACTAAAGACTCATACTCTCCACCCAGGTCATCTTATGCAGGAAGCCTTGTTTGACTTGAAGGCCAGGTTAGGTGCCTTCTTTCCGCTCCCAGAGCCTTTTCTGCTTCTTTCTTCAACACCTTATACACTGTCTTATCATTGTTAACAAAACTTTCTCCACAATTTGGGCTTGTCAGTTCATTCATGGGATCCCAAAGAGTCGGACACAACTTAGCTACTCAACTACAGGAAGTTCATCTTTGTGCCTCCATTTAGTGGAAGCTTTCTGTCATCTTTTTTCACTCCTTTTCCTTCACCATATTGGTCCCTCACCAAATCCAGTCAATTGGCAAAGTCCTACTGATTCTGCCTCCAACTGTATCCTAAATCCTTCTCTACTTTTACTATCACGCTAGTTCAAACCAACATCCTTTTTCTCTTAACAATTGTAACCATCTCCTGTTAAGTAGTTTTCATTCTTGCCAATTCTGCACCTAATAATTACAATACTTTCTTAAGAATAGATTACACCTCTGCTTAAAGCTTTCCAATTGCTTCCTGCTGCACTTAGAAAAAAAATCCAAACTCACCAAGACTAATAGTGTGGCCCCTGCCTACCTAATTGACATCATCTCCTCCTATTCTCCCCAGCGTTCACTACTCTTCAGCCACAATGGCCACCTGAAACATGCCTAGCTCATCTCTGCCTAGAATGTTCTTTTCCCGAGCTGGCTCCTTCTTTGTCAATCAGAGCTCAGCTCAAACATCGGCTCTTCAGCGAGTTCTCCAATGGCTATCCTTCCTGAAAGCGGCCCATCAGCAATTGTTCCATCATTTTATTTTTCGATCACTCAACACTATTGGGTTATTTTTTTGTTTACGATCTCCCAGCAAAAGAATACAAGCTCCACGAGAGAGGACGCCTGTTTATCGTTCACTCCTACACCCCAGATTGTGGAAGTGAGCCTGGGACAGATAGGCGCTCAAGAAAAGTTTGTTGAATAAAGCAATATGGTCAGAATCGTCACTAAACAGAAGCCCCGGCATACGGACAGAATCAGTGGGGCAGACAAGGATCGTTCCTTCCAAGTCTGCGCCTCACAGCCATCGGTCCCTTCCTCTAGTTCTTCGTACATTCCGGATCCCCAGCCTCCCCACTCGCCCGCCCCCAGGCCTAGTCCTCGCTCCCGGGGAGCCGGGAGGCTTCTCTCACCGTCGGGCCGGAACTCAAATTCCAGGAATTCGTGGCCGAATTTGCCTTTGTGCCCCACGTAGTAACGCAGGTAAAAGTCACTCTCCATGGCTCGCAAAACGGAGACAAGACCGAACTTTCAAGAGCAAACCGCACCGCCACTAAACGCGCCCGACACTGACGTTTGCAGCCGCGCGAGGAAGTGATGTCAAGAAACGTCATCACGCGTCGCGGAGCGACCCCCCCCCCCACTTCCGGAGATGGGACCAGGCGACTTCTCCTCTCCCGGCGGAATAAAGCCCCTTTCTCCCAGAGGCGGAGTCGGTTCAGCCCCTCCCCATCGGCCTGCGACTTGAAGAGGCTGTCCCTTTGAAGAGGTGTCCCCTTGGGGCTTGAGGCGGAAAGCTTGAGGCCCAGGCTCCAGTTTCAATTACCCAACAGTGTAGTCGGAATAGGCTCTTCACCGTCTCAGAACCTAGGTCGTCCCATCAGTAAAATAGGGTTGAAGGACCCGACCTCTTGGGAAAACACAGCGCGGCGCGGCGCGTCTCTAACGTTGGCTCTGACTGAACTCTACTGTTTAAAAAATCAGTTCAAGTAACTTCTCAGCGACGCTTTCCCTAAATCCACAGTGGAGCTGGCCTTTTTTTTTTTTTTTTGGCAACTAACTCTCCCGCACTTATTCTCCATTTTATCTCTTTCTACCTCACTTTTCCCCCTTTCTGCCTCACTGGTCTCTAGATGAGGTGTTGTGAGTAGGAGTTAAGTTTTGAATGTTTGATCTCCCACGCAATTGAATCGCCTCGGACGGAGCACCTAAAAAATACTGGTTCCAAACCAATTAAGTCAAAATCTTCCACAGTGGATCTATGTGTTGGTGTTTATTTTTTCTCCGCAGTTTGAATCAGGACTGTGTACTACTGTCCAGGAAGTTCTTGTCTTTTCAGGCCTAAGTGGTTGACTGCGAATGTTTTCTCGGCTGTGGAAAATATTTTCCTCCCTGATTAGGCCAAGAGCAACCAAACTCTTATTAGAAACCTGCCTTAGCTCATCTAAGTTCCAGCCAGATGGAAAACGGAATTGGTTCTAGAGACAGTGCTGAAATGGCATAATTTTGAGGGCCTGGAGAAGAGTCAGACCCGACTGAGCACGCGTGACTATAACACTATTCTGTCTTCAGGCTGGTGGTCCCTGAATCTCATTCCCAATCTTGCTGTTAATACTTTTCTCCCTGAAAAAGTATTGACAACAGAATGAAGAGTGGATGCTGGGGCCAGGGCGGATGTCACTGGAGATTTGTGTTAAAATAATCCCTCGTGTGACAGTGATTCACTGTGACCAAAGGTGAACTGATTGAACTTTTCGGACCTCAGGTTTCTTATCTTTAAAATGAGCATAATAATATTACACATCTGGCACAACTGTTGCAAGGATAAGAAATGTCTTGGAAATTGAAAAATACTTTTCAAACTCCAAATTGCTATAAGGCATCTTATTTAAAAAAAAGACACTGAATGTGGGTGGTAACAAAGGACTCATATAAAAAAGATAAGGGAATCAATAAATGTCAGCCCCTAGGCTGAGTATGTTTACAAGTGCCCTTTCTTTAAATTCTCACAACAGTCTTGAGGTGGTAGTTAGAGTTAAATATTTAGAGACATTGGGTAATTACCACAGGGTTATTTTCCAAGAGTGAAATTATAAAAATTATAATGTAATTGATTAATCTGGGCATCTGGATACATGGAAAATATCAAAAAGTGATGAGAAAATTTCAAGGACACCCAACTCCAATCAAGCTGTAAGGTAATTTCAGGCTTGGGGGTATGAAGCCACATAGTAAAGTATAGCTGAAAGAGCATGGCCTGTGTGTCTAATGTGTCTGAGTATAGCATAATTTGCTGAGCATCTACTGTGTGTCATGTGCTGGGAATACAGTGATGGCTGTCAAGGAGCATACAAGCAATTATAATGTAGGCATCAAATTTATAAATAGGGGAAGCACAGAATAGCATGGAAGCTCATGCAGTGGCTCCTAATCCAGTCTAGGGGAGTAAGTTAAGTCTCCCTGAAGAAAATGTTCCAGACAGAGGGCCCAGAACTTTTTGGTTATAATAAAGAAAAAAAAAAAGTTGAGACTATAGTAATGAGGTTGGAGAAGAGATACAAGACTAATCACAAAGGACCTTATAACCCATGTTAAGGAGTTTGGGTTAAAACCCCAAGGCTGTTGGATTTAAATGTAAGGAAAACAGATGAAGGGCTTTAAGCATGAAAGTGGAAAAGGGTGTTGGTGACAAGACCTATTGCATTCTAGAAAGATCACTCTGTCGGCAATGTTGTAGACTGGATTGTAAAATGGAAAGATTAGAAGAATGAAACTCACAGACAATGGAGATTAAGATGAAGTCAGAAAGGTAGGGGGAAAATCAGGAGTATGGTATCATGGAAACCAAAATAAGAGTACTTTAAGACAGGAGGGCCAACAGTGTTATATGCTGTTTCTAGGTCAAGGAAGAAAAGGATTGAAAGTATTTCCAAAGTTTATAATTAAGGAGATCCGGCTCACCTTGGTAAAAACAACCTCCTTGGCATGGGAGTAAGAGGCAGAGCACTGGAATACAAGTAGGCAAAATTTGTTGTGGAAGCACAGAGTTCCCTAACCTTACAAGTTAGGTCTGAGTCTGAGAGAACAGAGAAGGCTCCCTTAGCAGAGTGTTTAGGACAAACAGGAGTTAAGCCAGATGAAGAGAGAGAAGGAAAACTGAGGCAGAGGACACCACATGTGCTACATGTGTTTTGGGGGCGCTAAACATAACTGTTGACTTTGGGCAGTGCCTTCATTCTTTTTCTCATCTCTAAGATGGGAATGATAATATTGAGAGTCTTTATCTCACAAGATTGCTCACTCCCCACTCATTAAAGCATCACATAACTTTCAGATTTAATAAAAGGAATTTAATCTCTCTCTAGAAACAGTGCACCGAGTTTACAAATGTCCACATTTGGTTTTTAGTTCACCAAGATGATGCCAGTACAACTAGTGAGATGCAGCACATCACCCCTTGCCTCTGGAAGAGAAACCAGGTTGCAAAGGGGACTGAATACAGAAGCTAAGGGAACTCAGAAGGACAAGACAAAAAGCAGAAATGGTTAGTGTGACCCAACATTCTAACATGCCTGTTACATCAAATATCATTTAGGGGTATTCGGGGAAGACAAGGAAAATTCATTTGGGTACAATGGGATGGAGTCTGCAAACCAGTACTTCACCTCACATCAACAACAGCTTGTATAGAACAAAATGCTATTTAAAACACATGGTTTGTACAGATATTTTCTCTTGTAATTTTTGTAAAAAAGTATCAAAACCTTCATGTCTTTAAATATATATATATACACACACACATATATACAGGTGGCTTTTTAAAATTACTTTTTATAGCACAAAGTATTTGCAAATGCGAGGATTTCTACTGATTCTCAACTATGCACATGGTGCATAGCCTGAACAAAGCTTCCTGATTTCTTATGTTAACTGAGAATGTGAAGCTGTTAATTCTTCCACCTCAAAGTTGTCCACATCTTGAAAATCCTCAATACCCTAAAAATAGTGGGAAAATTCCAACACTCTTTGTGCATTGCCGGGAAAAGAAATGATTTACTCTGAAGCAGTGAACTGATAACTCATTTCTGTTTTGTGAAATGATGAGTGTGTAGCAGGATTGAGGGAGAGGAGTAGAGAGGCTCTCATTACTGTGTCCTCTCCCCATTCTTTCCAGCACCTGACTGGATAGTGCTGGGGGTCCCCTCTGCGGACACCACATCTTCCAAAATTTCCAGTTTACTTTTTCACAGTTGAGAAAGTCCCAGAGGCTCTTGACAACATGGAATGCTTCTGTGAAAATCCCACTGCCCTCATATCAGTCTTCATTGACCATGTCAAAAAACTATGACACAAATATATGAAAAGCAGTCACTATTTTCCTTTGGCCACAGGAAAGCTTGAGGGTAAAGACTGTCATGTCTGCAAAGTGCTTGCAACACATCCTGATCAATTTTCCGTGATGTACTTGGTAACTTACACACAATAAATGACCAAGAAATTTGATTAATTGAATCAGAAATTAAATAGAAGTGTTCTATAAAGTGCTTACATTGAACCTATCTTTCCATCCAGCCTCATTTCTTGCTAAGTCTCCCTTGAGCCTTTTGCTCATTACACATTACATTCAGTTCCTTAAAATCCTCGTGCTCTTTCATGCTTCTGTGTCTCAGCTCAGTGAGTCTTCTGCCTGAACCAGCCTGGACACCCCGACTTCATTTCTGAGACTTAGCTCAGGTCTGCTTTTCCTACAGTGCCTTTCTTGATCCCATTCTTTATCTCCTCAGGGAGAAATGACCTCTCTCTCCTTTGTAACCTAATAGTACTCAAAAAAAACAAAAACCTACTCTTTTTTTCGTTTGTTCCACATATGTCCTCCTCTAATTGCTACTGTGAGTTCCATCAGGACAGAAAGCATTTGATTGACTTGTACATCTGCAGTACCTGGCACTTAGTTGCTACCTAGCAAATAGTTTCAGTGGATTAATATACATATTGCAATCACATAGACAGCTGGAGGGATGGATCATACTTATTGCTATAAATTTACATCCAATCTCATTCTGAGGTTACAGTTTACCTCAATCTGTTTTATAATCATGCTCTCAAGAATAAATAAATAAAATTTTAGTTTCCTCTGTTTCTGGAAGACCATTTCTGCCAGGGCCTTCAAAATTCCACTAGAAAGATAGGTCCTAAGATAGGTAGCAGGTTTGATACAGTTGTTTGGGCAGCCTAAAGTAGTCTCCTGGAAAAGGAAAGGGAGGAAAAGGGCTTGGACTAGTGTCTGGTAAATTGTCTAACCTTTGGGCCTTATCTCTAAATGCCCTTCCAGCTCTATAGTCCAATGGCTCTGTGATCCATTATTGGCTGTAGATATATGATGACACAGGGGCAAAAGGCAACAGAAGTGCAACTACACCTCAGAATGCCTCCAAGAATAGGGAACGATGGACCTGACTCCTCAGACTTCATCTTATTTAATGCCATCCAACACATGAGTATTCCACAGTTTGTTTGTTTGTTTGTTTTGTAGGTTGCTCCCATAACAGCCTCTTCCAAACCACAGTGGTAGCATAGTCAGGGAGCATGGGCAGAAAGAAGACCCTGGCAGGCTACAGTCCACGGGGC